AGGAGGGGTAGGGAGCAAAAAGAGGGAGGGGTGGGGGGGGGGGGGGGGGGGGGGGGGGGGGGTGATCTGGGTGCTCCTGTTAGAGCCCATTTGTTAATTCTGCATAAAGTATTACAAATAATCTTTATTGAATCCTGTACTTCTCTTTATTACACGGTTCATCAGCTGCCAAAAAGACAAAATGATGCACTGCAGGATAGAGTGGAGACATGTTGTATGTCTGGACAGAACTCACTCCCTCTGCTTCCATCACAGACATGTTGAAGACAATATCAGCCCTGATCATCAGCCCTGATCATCAGCCCTGATCATCAGCCCTGATCCCTTCAGGGCTCTGCTGCACATACTGTATTAGCAAAAGATGAGGATCAGACGTCCCATATCAGCTGGGTTAAAGGAATCCCGTGTGGGAGCAGAAGGCCAGACTGACCGACTCACTGAGGTCTCTCATGTCACCACAGCACAAAGACCGACAGGCTAGAACAGACGTCATGTCCTGATCCGGGAGAGGCTGAGCTCAAATTAAGCAAAAGGGAAGCAATCTAGCAAGAGAGACGGATACACTGCTGTGTATGAGGCTGGAGCCCCTGAGTTCAGACTGCATCATCATACTCCAGCAAGAGGAAGGCCAGCAGTAACTGAACGTGCTCGAGGATTTCCTGCTCTCTTTTCTACAAAGGTAAGAACAATAAGACAGCAAGTCAACAAGGGAACCTTCTGCACTCATTCCTTACATCCTTTTATTAATCCCCCAGTTCACATGCTCTCCCCTCCACAGTAACCCAATTACCCTCTGCCCCACCACTCAATCTTGGCCCAAAGCCATGTGGAGCCACCATTATCTTCTCAAGAGAGAAAGGATACTGGACAGAACCGGCAGCCTGCCAGGATGTAATCAGATTACTTCAGTGTGCTCCAGTGAGAGGAGGATCAACAACAGATCAATTGGGCTGTGAAAGGAATGCACCGTGAATGCATGAATCGATCAACATCTCTCAGGAAATGAGGAGTTATGTTTTATAGGATTCAGTGAAATATTCATTGAGAGTGTTTCAGCCTTAACTGGATGAATAGTTACTCCCACATGTAGAAAGCTTCTGTGACGGTGTGCTTTGTTCTGTTCTCAGAAATATAAGCACAGTAAACCTTTTCTTCGAGTCATGAGCTACGTTCAACATCTCTCATGTTAAAGAAGGTTCAAACATAGCAGCACGTCTGTCTCTCAAGGTGAACTCAGAGGTGTAGCTGTGGTGCAACGTCAAAGAATTGATAATCCTGTTCCAGATGAAACGAGACAAAAAAAATAACATTTGACTACAAAAACTATGATGTATTACAATTTCTGTCAACGAATAACAAAAAAATAAGAATGAGTATGGATGAACTTACAAATGAACTATTGACTGATTAAATGTTGTCTTATTCAGCAACCTGCATGTAGCTGTGGAGTCATATGTTTGATGCTTACTTTATCCCCACGCTATACTATACAATACTACAATATACTATACTACAATATACTATACTATAATATACAATACTATAATATACAATACTATAATATGCTATACTATAATATACTAT